TTTAACATAATATGATCGTGCTAGTCTTGTTAATTTTCTTATCGTTTTTAACATACCCCTCAACTTGGACCATGGATATCAACAACTCCCAACTTGATTGCATTTTGTCACATATAAAATGATAATTTACTTCTATATGTTTGTTCTTTCATGAAAAACTTTATTTGTCTGATTCTTATATGAAAAATACAATTGGTTACTATTAGTGGAGACAACAATATTCCACCATATGCAAGTGGGAATATCTAACCCCCACTTTGCACATGGTGGAGGACACAAATGGTGACATAAATCATTGCATGATTTATACCCCTTCTCTCCCATTTGTATATATATATATGAAGAGTTGTGTGTGTGTGAAACACGGAGAGAGAGCTAGAGAAGAGTTGAGTTGAGTAGAGAAGAATTTTTTCCTCCTCCTTGTTTTGTTGTTTGTATTATTTCTAAGCTTGTTAATAAAAACTAGTAGCTCCGTGGAGTAGGCAAGTTGCCGAACCACGTAAATTGATGTGTGTTTGAATGCTTGAATGGCCTAACAACTGGTATCAGAGCTTGTTTTTGAAAAAGAGGGTGTTTGATCCAAACTTAAAAATCAAAATTCTCAAAACTTGTTTTTGAAAATACCATCATGAAGAGGAAGACGAGAGGAATTCATTGATGAAAACCCGGCGAAGAACTAACATCCTGCACGCGCCAACACGCGTCGCCGACTGCATTATCTAATCGCACCGACGCACCTCACACTCTCACGCGTCTTCTTTGCCTGAATTCCTGCAATTGAACTGGGTTGACACGACACGTCATTGACCAGCCAGCAGCCACAACAGCAGTTCTGCACAGTCATCAGACACGTCACTAATCGCATCACCTGCCACCTCGCCCGACACATCACCACTACCATGTCAACTAGAAATCCACGTGGATCTGCCACGCAATCATTGTGGGCCCGATTGGATTACATGTTAGACATGTCATCATATCCACGTCAGCATTCTGGGTTTTGATCCAGTGTGCCGCAGCCGCTATTCCTCCTAACACGTGGCTTCATCAGCAGCGTCCAGTTATCTCAAAGTTTGATTGATAAGATCTGAGCCATCCAAAGTTCAATTTAGGTG